GGGAGGAGGAGGAGGAGGAGGAGGAGGAGGAGGAGGAGGAGGAGGAGGAGGAGGAGGACCGCAGCGTGGTGGGCCAGAGCCGGCGGCGCGACACGCCGAGCCAAATGCCCCGACCGCCGTCAGAGCCGCTCCCTTCCAGGGCTCGCGTGCTCGTGCTGTCTTCGCTCTCCCTCGCGCTGTCTTCGCTCGGCCTGCGCAGCAAGACAGCATCAGAACGAGAACTGCCCACGAAGCCGGGCAGACGTCGTCTGGCTCGAGGCCTGCAGCTGTCTCCCAAATCATAACTCGGGGCTCTGGCGGCCAGCCGATCGGGAGGACCCAGGCGCCACGGGCGTCCCCCCGGACCGCCCTCGGCGAGGCGCAGCTCCTGGAGCGCATCCCGAGGCGAGGCAACCTCCAGAGACCGACGGGAGCGTCCAGAATCGGGTCGGGCATGTCCTCCTACAGGCGCCTTTTGGCCGAAAAATGTCAACAAAAGTCGAGCAATACCCCAAACTAATCGAACAGACTAGCAAATCGTCCACGTACTCTTCAATGAGCTCGAGCCCAGCCCCCTTCCCTTGACGCCCGCGGAAGGAGGGCGGCGCGCTCGGGCACCCACCGGCCCGGGTCGGTCCAGACCTGGGCCAGTCAGGCTCTGCAGGATCCTGCAAGATCCTGCAAGATCCTACAGAATCCTGCGCCCAAGCCCGGGTCAATGCAGCCCTGGCTCAGGATCCTGCAAGATCCGGCGCTCTCACCCCATTCCTTTTCCTTATAACTATCTTCTCCCTGTCGCACCCCGAGGCCAGTTTTCAGTGGCAACAGTTTCACGGATGGAAGGTGGATCGTTGAAAAAATGTGGCTCTCGCCTTAGCGCCGCGCACATTCGTTTCAAACATTTGCAAGAGCTTCACGGATTGAGGGCGGGCTGTTTTCAAAAATGTGGCTCTCGCCTCAGCGCCGCGCACATTCGTTTAAAACCCTTTCAAAAATGTGGCTCTCGCCTTAGCGCCGCGCACACTCTTGCTTTCTCCATGAAAAAACTGTGCAGGAGCTTCACGGAGTGAGGGCGGGCCGTTTTCAAAATGTGGCTCTCGCCTTAGCGCCGCGCACATTCGTTTTGAACCTTTGCAAGAGCTTTACGGATTGAGGGCAGGTTGTTTTCAAGATGTGGCTCTCGCCTTAGCGCCGCACACATTCGTTTTAAACATGTGCGAGAGCTTCACGGATTGAGGGCGGGCCGTTTTCAAAAATGTAGCTCTTGCCTCAGCACCGCGCGCATTTGTTTTTTTTGTTTGGTCTTGTTTTATTTGTTTACTATTAGCATTATTAATACTAATGTTGTTTAAAGCAAGCTCCTCACGGATTGAGGGCGGGTCGTTTTCAAGATGTGGCTATCGCCTTAGCGCCGCGCGCATTCGTTGTACGCGTTTACAAATGTTTCACGGGCTCCGGTGATCAACTTACCAGAAATGGCGTTTTGGAAATATTCGGAATTATGCGGGTGCAACAGTCATGTTGATTCGCGGTGTTGAAGTCCCCAAATTGGCGTTCTGGCACGATTCCGGATCGTCCAGAAGCAGCAGTCAGGTTGATCCGTGGCGTTGAAATCCCAAGAGCAATTGTTTGGCATGCTTCAGGGTAACGGTCGTCTTCCATCGAGGTCCCTCAATGGAAAGGAACCGTTGTAGGGGCCTATGAAGAGGGAGCTTGGAGGGATGGCTTTTATCCAACATCGTTGATGACACTTGAGTTTACACCGTCCTCCTCCTCCTCTTTCTCGTCCTCCTTCTCCTCCTCGTCCTTCTCCTCCTCCTGCTCCCCCTCCTCCTCCTCCTCCCTTTTTTTTTTTCCTCCTCCTCCTCAGTTCCTCCTCCTCCTCCTCCTCCTTCTCCTCCTCCCTCTCCCCCCCAGATCGCATTGGCCCCCGCCCCTGAAGCCCCGGAGCGAGAGGGCCGCGAGGCGGCCGGGGCGCGCGCTCGAGGCCCCCAGGAGGCTCCGAGACTGCCCCAAAAGCTCCCAATGGGCCTCCTCCTCCTCGTCGTCGTCCTCCTCCTCCTCCTCCTCGTGGTTCCTGGCTCCTGGTGGCTTTAGATCCCTGCGGGTGCAGCCTCCCCCCCCCCCAGGCTGGTGGGTTGATCAACTATAGTGCCATGTGGCCCCTGGAGCACCGCCCCAGGCGTCACTGGCAGTGTTTGCAATAAGTGCACGCAAGAACAAAAACAGACAGACGAGGAGAGCGAGGGAGGAGAGACAACGGAGGCCAAATCATGAGAACGCAACGCAGGGGAGAGGAGAAAGTAGGCGAGGCCGAGCGGCAGCGCAGAGTAGGTCCTCCTCGTCGTCGTCGTCGTCGTCCTCCTCCTCCTCCTCCTCCTCGTCCGTGTTCCGCCTCCTCCTCCTCCTCCTCCGTTTTCCTCCCTCGTCCTCTGCCCCTTCCCCGGGCGCCCGCGGAGGGAGCCGCGGCGCGAGAGAGGGCGCAGGGGCGGCCGGGCACGACGTGGGCGCGCCTGAACCGCTCATCGGGGCCGCCCTGCTCCCGCGGCTGCGGCTCCCCGAGCCTTCTCGGGGAGGGCGTCGTCATGGCCCAGGGGATCGTCGCGGTCGTCGAACATCGTCGTCGTCGTCGTCGTCGTCGTCGTCGTCGTCGTCGTCGTCGTCGTCGTCGTCGTCGTCGTCGTCGTCGTCCGTCGTCGTCGTCGTCGTCGTCGTCGTCGTCGTCGTCGTCGTCGTCGTCCGTCGTCGTCCGTCGTCGTCGTCGTCGTCGTCGTCGTCGTCGTCGTCGTCGTCGTCGTCGTCGTCGTCGTCGTCGTCGTCGTCGTCGTCCGTCGTCCGTCGTCCGTCGTCCGTCGTCCGTCGTCCGTCGTCCGTCGTTCGTCGTTCGTCGTTCGTCGCCGTCGTCCATCGTAGTTCGTCCACTGTCGTCGTTCGACGTCGTTGCGGTCGCCGGCGTCGTTGTCGTCGTCGTAGCGGTCGTCGTCGCCGTTGTAGCCCTGGACCCCGCGCAAGGGGAGCAGCACAACAACCGTCGAGGGTTCTCTGGGGCCTGGGCCCTCCTCCCATTCTTGATATCATTCCTCTCCCTCTTCTGGTTCCTCCTCCTCCTCCTTGTCCACCTCATCTCCCTCATCCACCTCATTATCTAATTAATTATCCCTACCCTCTATCTTGAGATTACTAAAATTTCTCCACCACTTATCTTTTTATTTTTCTTATTCTCCGCTTGTTCTTATTTTTCTGCTTCTTCTTCTTATTCCTCTTCCTCCCCTCCGCATTGATTCCCTTCTCCTCCTCTTTTCCTCCTCTCCTCCTCCTGCTCTTGCTCCTCCACCTCCCGTTCCGCCTTTTCTCCTCCTTCTCCTCCTCCTCCTCCTCCTCCTCCTCCTCCTCCTCCTCTCCTTCTCGAGCTTCACCCCTGTGGTCCTGCAGTGGACAGGGCATCCCCCAGAAGAGGAATGAATCAGGGGACGCCTCTCCCCCGCCCCCGAAGTCCAAGGTGGCCTGGGGGCCGATACAAGTCCGAAGTCGAGGTGAAGAGGCAGGATTGAAACAACATAGTCGGGCTGCTGAAATAAAAAGCGCCAGGCGAAACCTTTCTTGAAACCTTTCTTTTGGCACCAGAAGCGCCTGGGTGCACGAAGCTAGGGCATTACCTGAGGAACAACGAGCCCCTTCCGTATCCCAAAGCGGTCCTTTCCGTTCCGCGTCTTGGCTGTATGATCCTCGGAGATCTGGGTTCATCTCCCCGGACCTCTTCTGGGCTGCATGCTGCCCAAGATTTCGAGGCGAATCCACCCGCGGCGACGAGGGACGCGCAAGTAGCGGCATCGGTACCTCTCCCTCCTCCGATCGTCCCCCCGACCGAGCACCCGTCCGTGGACGCCCATCCGTGGGCCCCCTGACGTCCCAGCCATTTCCCCAGTGCCAGTTATTTTCATCCCGAGTCGCTATTCGGCGGTCCCGGGGCCCGGCGAGTGCCCTCGGAGGCCGAAATCGGCCAAAAACCGCCCGTCGTGATTTTTCTGCACGGCGCGAGCACGTCGGGGGATGTACGTGCCGAGGCCTTCTGGATGAGGCTCGAGTAGATGGGGTCAGAGGACACGCCGCATCGGCAACGCTGGCGTGGGTAAAATCGGGCTCCGCACCAAGCCGCATCGCCGATGCACCGTCGATGCAGCGCGATCCTCCGACCCCTTCTAGTCTGACCCCATCTGGGAGGCCGACCAGGCAGCTGGAAACAATCGTGGCTGGATCCACATGTGGAACACTCGGAGGCCACGCGCTGGAAATACATGCGAAGCCCAGACTACACGTCCATGGAAAGGCCGAGCGCTGGAAAGACGTCCAGACACGTGTGCATCCAGCTTCCTGGTAGAATGCTTGGCACATCATGTGCGTCAAGCTTCCTGGTCGAATGTTGGAGGACGGGATGGCGGAGGGAGGGGAAAGGGGGGTGGGAGGGGGAGGGGGCGGTGGGCGGAGGAGGGGGAGGGGGGAGGGAGGGCGGCGGAGGGGTAGGGGGGGGCAGAGGAGTGGGAGGGGGAGGGGTGGGCGGAGGAGGGGGAGAGAGGGGGGAAGGGGAGGGGGGTCGAGGAGGACGAGGCGGGAGGAGGGCGGAGGAGGATGACGAGGAGGACGAGGTGGAAGGAAGGAATGGAATGAAGTGGGGGAGGAGTGGAGGAGGAGGAGGAGGAGGAGGAGGAGGAGGAGGACGAGGAGGAGGAGGAGGAAGGAGTAATGGAGGAGGAAGAGGAGTAATGTAGGAGGGTCAAGATGATAATATTGGGCACGCTCGTTGGAGGGGGGGGGGGGAGGGGGGAGGAGGAGGAGGGAGGAGGATGGGGGAGGGAGGGGAGGGAGGAGGAGGGAGGAGGGAGGGAGGGAGGGGAGGGAGGGGGGGAGGGGAGGAGGGGGAGGAGATCTGAGGAGGATCTTGGACACACCCGCGGGCGCGCCCCCACGGTGGCTGCCCAGGGGCCCCCCGCCCCCCCCCCAGGCCAACCGGAGCCTGGCGAGCGTTACCGACACGTCCCGGCCGTCGAGTTGGCGGCCGGCGAGCTCCCGCAGCGCGGCCCACGGCAGGTCCGCGGCGAGGGCCGGGGGGGGCTCTGCGGCGGCGGAGGGGTGGGGCTGGGCGGCCCCTGAGGCATCACAAGCTTCGCTGCCCCGACACGCAGCACGCAACCCGTCGCGTGTCGGCACGGAGCTCCACACGCCGGTTTCGCCAACACGTGGGCCAAGACGCTGGGCCAACCCGCAACGTACTGACACGAACGTTTTGAACACGGCACGCGTTGCATCAGGGCAACTAAGATCACAAGCGACGGGCATATCACGGTCGAGGATCGACCGATCCTCTGTCCTCGATCGGTCCTGTAGATCCTCGATCGCTCGAAGCTGGGTCCTCGAACGATCCTCGAATCTCTAACCCGATAGGACGCACGGCGACGGCGAGGCGGCCCTCACGAACGACGAACATATCCGCATCCGCGCCCTCTCGGTCTTGATTCCGGGGCGCGATCCCGGGGATACGCTGTCGCACGGATGCCTTCCGCAGATCCCACTCTGTCGAAGACTTCGACGTCGAAGGTCTGGGGGGCTCCGATGGTTCTGCGCAGCCCACTCGGCGTCTGAGCCCCCTCGGGCGCCGAGCGGGCCCGGGATCTCGAGCCCGCTCGGCGGCAGAGAACCCTGCTGGAAGTGAACGCACTCGGCCGCCCCTTCGGCGGCCGCACCTGGGCCCAGGTGCCGACTGTGCTCCGCAGGGAGCGGGGAGCCGGCGCCGCGCGGGGGCCCGCCACCGTCCTCCTCCCGCCGGGGCCTCTGGTGCGGGTCACAACCGTAGACACCACCACAAGCTCCAGTCCCCGTTCCCTCCTCCACTTTCCTCCTCCCCCTCTTCTCTCCTGGGAGAGGGAGGGGGCGAGGGAGGTGGTGGTGGTGGTGTGTGCTGTTGGGCCCCGTGTCTGGAGCCACCTCGGCGCTGGGGTCTCACAGAACCATCGAGGAGGCTTCGGTGTACGGGTGGCCAGTGGCAGAAGCCCCGAGCCTCGCCGACTGTCGGCGGCGCGCCCGGGGGGGGGGGAAGTGAGGGGGGGCGGGGCCGTCTCTCGGAGGGCTATCGGAAATTCCCTGGCCTTCTGAGAAGTTGTCTGAGCCTTCCGCGAAGACACAGGGCACTTCTCAGAAGGCGCGAGGATCCTCGCGGGGAAGACGCCCGAAAATCCCCGGGAGAACCCCGAGCCGAAAGACCTCTCGAGGCCCTTCTGGGAACGCCCTGTGCCTGAACTCGGTGAGCAAGCTTCAGCTTCAAAAGCGATGTTGGCCTCTGCCTTCCCTGTCCCGAAACTCCCACCATCCCTTCCCTCACTTCCCACCCTTCACCTGCCTCCCTTACCCCCCACCTTTCTCTTCCGCACCGCTCAGCCGCCATTGCTCCCACCTCCATCCTCCCTCCATCCTCCATGCTCCCTCCTCACTTCTCACTCCTCACTCTGCCTTTGTATTTGTCCTCCCTCCTAACTCACCCTAAAGATCCTCCTCAGAGTCTATTTCCCTGTTCACCTCCTCCATTCTCCGTCGCCTCCGTCCTCTCCTCTTTTGTCTCCTCCTTTTCCTGGCACGCCTCAGCCTCCACCTCTGCCTCTTGCTCCTCGTCGTCTTCCTCCTGCCCCTCCGATTCCATCATCCGCATCACCCTGATCCAACTCCAGTGCCCCGCTGCCACCTTCTGTTCCCCAGCCCGGGCCCCCCCCCGGGAAGATCGGGTCGGGCGAAAGGGGGGGATAGCAAAGGGGGGGGTCTGAGAATCAGCTCACGTAGCTGATTTTCCCAGCGCCTCCCGGCGCCGGAGGCGGCTATGTATCGGGGAATGGGCCCCTCGGTGGGGCCGAAACCAGCTGCATGCAGCAAATTTCGTAACCCCCCCCCTTTCCCAATCCCCCCCTTTCGCCCGGCCCGAGAAGAACTCCACCACGCCCACGCCGGTGGACGCACCGGTGTCCGGATCGCCAACGATCCAGGCCAGGGAGACCCTGCCGACCCCCTCGCAGAAGCCGCGGAGGCCCTCGGCGTCGGTCCCGGCACCGAGGTTGCTCAGGCAGACCCTCGCAGGAGAGCCCCAAATCGAATCAAGAAGTCGGATCGGCGATCGAAGGCGAATTGGATCGGCGGGAATGCAGGGGGCAAACAACCCTACCTCGCTTTTGACCACCCTCGCTTCCAAGAGATACCAAACGATGCCAAACTACGGCCTGTACTGGTCAGGCCGCTTGACGAGGAGGCGCGTGGTATGACTTGGTTTTGCCTGGAAGCGAAAGCGGGGTAGGTAATTCACGCTCTGAAAATGGGCAGCCAAGTCTGGAGAAGCCGAATCGGCTGAAATCGCAAGGCCAGCAAGGCCTCCATGGAGAGACCGAGATCCGCATTGGAACCCGAAGCCGAATCGGAATCGGAATCGATCGAGGTCGAGCCGGGACGAACCGAAGGAGTCGACGTCTGACCCTCAGTGGGTCCCAG